TTTAATTTAGTCATTCCATAGTTCAATTCCAATTGTTTAAATAAAATTGAATTGGTATAAAGTTAGTACTTGGATATTATTAGTAATAATTCTTCGTGGAAACGATACTCTCTATTTATCACTTTATTACTTGTTGATCGTGTATACTTGCACGTAAATTATCAATATCAAATTCGGACAACAAGCTTTTGGCGTCGTTGCCGGGGACTTATTCTAGTAATTATTTCAATATTAATTTCAATCAATTTGATCTTAGTTTAAACTTATTTAATTTTCTGTTTTAACTACTTTTGCAAGTATTCTTGAATTTTGTATGCAAACGCGATCCACAGGTCAAGAGCTACTATCGTACGAAGACGAAATCGAAAGGAAGCTCTGAAATTTGCGAAAGCAGTGTCAAGAAGTAAAAAACCAATAAGTTATGGCTGAAGATGAACAGAAATTGTTAAGGGATTATGCTATGCCGCTTGTTACAGAAATACAATCGAGCATTCAAAGGCCCGCAATTCAAGCAAATAGTTTTGAAATCAAGCCGGGTACCATCCAAATGATTCAAAATTCAATGCAATTTGGGGGTTTGCCTAACGATGACCCAAATGATCATTTGGTGAGTTTTCTTGAAATTTGCGACACGTTCAAATACAATGGGGTTTCCGAAGATGCAATTAGACTCTGACTATTCCCTTTCACACTTCGTGATAAGGCGAAGAGTTGGTTGCATTCATTGCCGCCAGGTTCTATTACCACATGGACAGATTTAGCTCAAAAATTCTTAGCTAAATTCTTTCCACCAGCTAAAACTGCAAGGATGAGGAACGACATCACATCATTCACACAACATGATTCTGAGACTCTTTATGAAGCTTGGAAGCGATTCAAAGACTTACTACGAAAATGTCTTCACCATGGTATTCCTAAGTGGTTGCAAGTTCAGACATTCTACAATGGGTTGTTTAGTGCTACCCGGACTAGTATAGATGCAGCTGCAGGTGGGGCATTAATGGGGAAAAATTTTGATGAAGCTTACGAGTTGTTGGAGACGATGGCAGCTAACAATTATTAGTGGCCCTCTACGAAGATCAATCAGCCAAAGGTAGCAGGGATTTATCAAGTGGATGCAGTTACTGCATTAGTTGCACAGGTTGCTATGTTGACAAAGAAGATTGATGCCTTAGGGGTGCAACCTATTCAAAGTGTGGCTGTCATTTGTGAATTATGTGCTGGTAACCATCCGAGTGATCAATGCGCAATCAATCCGGAGTCGGTACAATTCATTGGTAACCACAACAGGCAACAATATAGCAACAATTCCAACAACTATAACCCTGGTTGGAGGAATCATCCGGATTTTTCAGGGAGTAATAATCAAGCTCAAACTTTTGCTCTGAGACAAACATACCCGCCAGGCTTTCAGAATCAAGCTCCACCACAGCAAGAAAAGAAGTCAAATTTGGAGGAGTTGCTTTCCAAATACATAGCACAGAATGAGACAAGGATGAACAGTCAGGAAGTATCAATTCGGAACCTAGAAAATCAAATGGGTCAGCTTGCTAATGTCATTAACAACCGACTTCAAGGCACCCTACCTAGTGATACAGAGATCAATCCTAAGAGGGAAGGTAAGAAGCACTGTAATGCTATTACATTACGAAATGGAAAAGAGTTACCTAAGGTTGTTGGTGGAAATCCAAAGCAATCACATGGAGATGATAGTGAGGGTGAAGAAAAAGATAACAAGGATGTGGAACATGAAAAGAAAGAAAAAGATCCAAGGGCATGTTCTAGTAGATGTAATTCGACCTATTGTGCTTCCCGTGCCATTTCCACAACATTTGCAGAAACAAAAATAGAATAAGGAGTTCTCTAAATTCATGGAAGTGTTTAAGAAGCTCCAAATAAATATTCCGTTCGCAGAAGCAGTGGAGAAAATGCCTAACTATGTGAAATTTTTGAAGAAAATCTTGTCAAAGAAGAGAAAACTAGACAATTTTAAGACAGTGGCACTTACGGAGGAGTGCAGTGCTATTTTTCAAAATAAGCTACCACCAAAGCTCAAAGATCCGGGTAGCTTTACAATTCCATGCACAATAGGCAATCAATTTTTTGGGAAAGCATTATGTCACTTGGGAGCTAGTATTAACTTGATGTCACTCTCTATTTATCAGCAATTGGGGTTGAATGAAGCGAAATCGATGAATGTTACATTGCAGCTTGCAGATAGATCACTCACTTATCCAATGGGCATAGTTGAGGACGTTCTAGTTAAAGTGGATAAGTTTATTTTTTTCAGCTGATTTCATAGTCTTAGATTTTGAAGAAGACATGGAAATACCTATTATTCTTGGGCGACCATTCTTAGCAACAGGGAGAACACTCATTGATGTACAAAAAGGTGAGCTAACTATGCGAGTCCAACATAAAGAGGTTACATTCAATGTATTTTCAGCTATGAAATTTCTAAAGGAAGTGGACGAATGTTTTCGGGTTGATTTGGTTGAAAAGACAGTGAATGGGATATTCGTAGGAAGTTGTATTTCAGATCCACTTGAGAACGCCAAGCTATATAAAGAGGAGGTGTTTCCACATGGAGCATTCGCAGTTGAGGAAGGTTATTCGAAAAGAACTCTCAAAGTGAACAGGCGGAGAATGAAGCAATATTGGGGAGGTGACATTGATCATGAAAAGACATCAATTACCCTTGTCAACCCGGGATGAAACAGGAAGTAGTCAGGCTGAAGACTATAAAACAAGTGCTAATTGGGAGGCAACCCAAATTTTAGTTTCTAAATTTTATTTCATTTTATTTTAATTTAGTTTTTTTTTATAAGAAATAATGTAGTTACTTAGTTAGTGCATTTTAATCGGTATGTCAATTGCTTGCAGGTCCCAAAGATTGAACATAAAGTTGGAGCTCACACAAATCCTTGCTAGGAGCCAAGAATAGCCCACCTATGTTTCCCAAATACACTCCTGACTAGCGAAGTTTCAGGGAAGTCCTCTGTCTTAATTTTTTCTACTGTATACATTGAGAACAATGTTTAGTTTAAGTTTGGGGGTGTTTTCTAGTTTGCATTTACATTATTAGGTATGCAATTTAGATATCATGTTTTGCATTTAGATGGTATGTTTTAGTACGACTTGAGCAATGAGTTGATTGAATTTGATTATGGCCAATGATGAATGAGATTAATTGTCAATTCAAGGAAAATTGATGAACATGTTGAGTTTATAGTTTGACATACTAGTTGGTTTTACACTATTTGTGATCTTTTCATTCATGAGCACATATCCATCTGTTTGGTTAGTTATTATTTAGAGAATTTATTTGGTTAAATGCTTATGGGAGATATTATTGAAACTTTAGAAAACTTATTTAAGATCATTCAAAACGAATGAAGGTATTCATATAATTTTGGGGGAAATATTGGTTATGATGGGTTAGTTTAAAAAAAAAAGAGAAAAAGAGTGTTTGAACATTATTTTGATTTGATCTTTCATGAGTTAGATGGAAAAAAAATAGGAAAAAAAAAAACAAGAAAAGGGCATGTGGTGAGTAGAGATGGAGCGTAAAACGCACTCACCCATAAACATAGTTGGAGAATGAGATGGAGCGTAAAACGCATTCGTTCAAGAAAAGGCGAGATGGAGAGTAAAATGCACTCGCTCAATAGGAGGTGAGATAGAGCATAAAATGCATTCACCAAAAAAGAAAAAATAGTGAGAGAAAAAAAAATTTGGTCATTCTATTTATATATTTACCTTAATGAGTGGAGGTTAATGTGAAACGTAAGTTTATAGAGTTGATATTGAGTATCTCCTATGAAGCGTTTGGTTACGTAAATGTATTTGGGTGATGACTAGCTTGATAGTTCGGATATGTCCATGTAGTTAAAGGGTCATGACTAGAGGTAAAATTAAGGAGTATGCTAAATTGATAGACTTTGCACTGTTTTGAAGTTTTCCGTGAATTAAATTTTTTGTAATAACTTTTGGGGCCATTATTCAGATTCATATTGATCCATTGTTTGAGTAGTAGGTTATTGGTAAATTTTTATTGTTTTTGTTCTTAATATTTTGCTTGAGGACAAGCAAAGATTCAAGTTCGGGGGTATTGGTGTGCTCCGATGGTGGACGACGATTGCAATTTGGTGGAGCAATGGTGGAGGTTGATGGTTAGTGATATGGGAATTAGGGATTTGGGGGAAATTTTGAGAAAGGAGAGTAGAGGGCAAAGAGAAGAATTGGTTGCGGTGTTCTGATGGTGGTGGTGTTCGCTGGAGAATAAGGAAAGGGGTGCAGAGGGGAAGGAAGGAAATTAGAGAGAAGAAGGAACGAATAAAAATAAGAAAGGAGTAACATTGGCAACGACAATTCGGCTGACGGCTCTATTCTAAACGTTAGTTCAAATAACGTTTTATAATGCTAAAAAGTTCACAAATTTTGTGTTTAAAATATCAACGTTTTAACTAAAAGGTCACTTAAACTGGCAATTTTAAATTTTAAAAGGTTAGTTAGATTCATGTTTTTTAAAATTAATTGAGTTTCAAAAATAGTTTTAAAACAACCCGAATTTGGGATTAATTTTTCCAAACTATCCGGATTTGGTCAAACGTTCTCAAAATTTTGTAATCTGTAACTTTTGAATTGTGAAATTTTGTCGCTGTATTTTGTTCTTGGACGTAAGCTTATTTGTTGAACCGAACCATGTAAATTTTTGTATTCTATTTTTCTATTACGTTCTATTATTATTTTGTTTGTGATCTTCGTTCATAACTATAAATTTTGGATTTTTTAAATATACTCCCTTAATCTGTGTAACATTCCAGCCAAACCGGCTTCTGAGGAACTGCAGCACAATCCGTAAATAATAGTATTCATCTGGAATCCCATGTATATTAAAGTAACACGTAATTTCTAAGCCGAAGCACCAAGATTTATTGAACCAATACAGCAATGATTAAATTTCTCAATGGTACACAATAACTCGTTTTTAAACAATCCTAATTTGTCTCACTTCTTAGATGTTCTGTTTCGCCGTTTCCATTAGCATCATTCGATGGCTTTGATTGAACTTTTTCTGTAGCTAACTCCACATCTCCTTCCATGCTGCTTTTGCTTACCTCTTCTATGTGTTTATGAGTATACAACCAGGTACATATCACATAATACATGAGATTTACAACTTGCAATATGCTGACAAGCCAGTAGTAATTTTCCAATCTTCCCATATTGAGATTCCTATCAGGTATCCAGTTTCCTTCTTTACCCGAGTATTTGTGAACTAATGATACCAGAAATGTGCCTGTATAATTTCCCATCGATATTGCCAGCCAGTAGAGTGCAGCAGCTGTGCTTCTCATACTCTCGGGCGACTGATCATAAAGGAATTCCATAAGCCCCACAGACATAAAAACTTCAGCTAGTCCATGGAAGCAAAATTGAGGAACCAACCAGAAGACACTTATGGGTATAGTCGCAGTTGGTTTGTCCAATAAGTTGTGATTTCCTGCCACTTCTTTTCGCTTGATCTCAACAAGTGCTCCAACAATAGTAGCTAAAATGTTCGCTACAAAGCCTATGCCCATTCTCTGCAGGCAAGTGATGCCCACAGGATTTCTGGTGAACTGACGAGCAAAAGGGACAAAAAGGCGTTCATATAGAACAAGACCAAATAAGACGGTAATGACATCAAAAATGGACATACTAGCTGGGGGTATTTCAAAGGAGTGAGACATGTGACGATCCATGGTGCGAGCTTGTTGGATGAGAAAGCTGTGCTGATGTGAATATGCTGTATGTAGTAATATTGAAGCTGCTGAGATGGGCAATACCCTTATAATGGACTTTAATTCCTCAACACGATGAACAGTAGCTAGCCTCCATAAATTTGGTCTGCTTGAATCCATTTTATCCTCATCAGTTACTATTGCAGCACGATCAAGCCACCTTAAAACATCAGCAGCATTTCAAAAAATCAGATAAAAAGTCTACCAAGACGTCAAACTATATAAGTTGGTTACCTCAGTTTCTCTGCACAATCTTTGGGTGAGTAGAGGTGCAACTATTGGGAAACTGACTTCCAACTGAACTTAGAAAAAAATGCTTAACAACTCTCAATAGCTTTAAAAGAATTCCATCTAAAATTAGATGCTCAGAAACTACTAGTGACTTGTTTCTCTTTCTATAGAAGAATATGGAACAGTGCTATTGCAAGCTATTCTAGCAAGCAATTGGAATAAAAGTCAACACCACATGTAGTTGCAATTAGTACATAACCTGATTACTTCTAAGTCATACTACTTTCAACTCTTACTCAAATTTATTAGATGATTTTTAAATGTATTTATTAGGTAGAATATCTTACTTGAACTGATCAGTGTGTAGAAGCCTTCCATTGGATGAAATAGATGCATCTAGCTCTCCATTCCCGTAGAGGAGATCAGAGTCTTCTGGAGCAACTATTTTTCTCTTCCTCACAGCAGCAACAATTACCTGAACCACTCTAATTAGTGGGCTTCCCCCGGGTTTTAGTTTTTTATAAAGAGGAGAGCCTATGAGAAAAGCTATAATTGATATCACCATGGCAACAGTTGGAATTCCATATCCCCAAACCCAACCCACATTGTCTTGGATATAAACAACAACAGTTAGAGCAGACAGAGTGGCCATTGCCATGCTAAAAAAGTACCAATTGAACAAATTCCAACTCCGAGCCTCTACTTTTGATTTGGACATGTCAAACTGGTCGGCGGTAAATGTAATGACACAAGGTCGAATGCCGCCTATCCCAAGAGTTGTGAGGACCAGAGAAATGTAAAGGGGCCATAATTGCAGGGATGAGGCTTCGTTGCAGTTTACTTGAGTGGGGCATGGTGGCGGGCGGAGCTGTGGCAGGACTGCTGATACGACGATGCTCACTAACCCCTGTTACAAGGATGTTTAGCACATGAAAATATGTTATTTAACAGTGAATGAACAAGAGTCAAGTGGAACCCAATATACACACACTTATAATTGGAAAATCGATATTTTTTTTCCCCATTTCTAAGTTCACTTTAAGCTCCACTCTGGTTTGTGGATACCAGACAAAAATTTCACCATTGTCCAGCCAAACTATCAAGATTAAGGATGAATCTAGTTTGCAAAAAGGATTTTTAACAGAAACTGACTATCATGCTCTGATTTAAACCGTTTCTAAGAATAAGATAAAAGGATATTATAATTTAATTAGTAAACCCAACAATATAGGCTGATAAAATTTGTAGGAAACTCAATTTAGCATCATTAACATTTTCCGTCACTCGATTGGCTTTCACCATGAGAGGAGATATACATAGTATTTGTCCAAAGATTTCCTCTTTCTTATCTAGCCAGTATCAGTATGTCAGGTTTCCTAATGCTTCCTTCTGCACCTTCAAGGAAGGTGTGGAGTTCAAGCATCGGGGGAGATGGGGTTAATAGGAACCGAACCTACAAGTTAGCCTAAGATAATTTTATTAAGAATAGGAATTTGTTATTTGCCATTGTACTTATATGAATTTTGCAGAGTTGGCGCTCGACCTCTGTTCGGCTACCTAGGAAGCATGAGTGAAGTGGCAGCGTCCGAGCACAGTCGGAGATGAACATAACACGGTTAGAAGTGTCATGAATATTGAAATTAGTCAAACATGATTAGAATTTTTGTTAAGAAAAAACGAATTTTAAATATTAAGAAGGATGTATATTTTTTTTATATATTCTTTGTTCCGTAACTAATATACTATAAATGTTAATGGATGTAATGATGTTTCATAAATATAGTAGATATTTATTTTAATTTATCTTAAAATTAATCAAAAAATTAATATTTGCTAGGACTTATTTTTTTTTTAATAATCTTATCCTTCTCGTACCCGTGTCTTATATTTTTTAACTTTACCGTATATCTGTGTTGGTATAGTATCGGATTACCCTTACTTCCATGTCAGCTACACTTAACAACATAAACAAGCAAGTCGTGTTCATGCTGCACTCGATCCATCTCTCTCCGGCTAGACTCAACAAGATAAACAAGCTAAGTCGAGTTCAACGCTCGATCTCAGGCCAACTGTACATTGTATATGGATAAAAAAAATTTTTGAATAAACAATGATAAAAGTCCATTAATATTAGCAAAGTAAACATTCAAATAAGCATATATATAGCTACTAGGTTCAGGAAAAATCTTGAACTGATATTTGACGATCTAACTAGCAGTAGTAAAACTGTTTGATTGAACAAGTGTTTGCACCCTCCGGTGATGTTCTGGTTGGGGGATGCATTTTTCGATTGAGTCAGGAACGAAAATATGAGGTCTAGCAAGAGTCGGGGTGGTGGCTTGGAAATTCCTTACATGTGAATCAATTCATCCATATATGTGGCTTTTCTGTTTTGTTCATTTTAATTCTTTCAACACACACAAACAAACACACAAGAGGGGAGAGTGAGAGGGAGAGAGAGACCAGTTCATAAATTATGGAACCGACAATGATGGTCCAAAATCGGCCGGCAAAAGAGTCCGCAATCAGTGCACCGACGAGTGGCGTCAAACTGGCAGTGCCAACAACGTTGGTAAGAATGTTGGATGCCTTCACAAGTGGCATGTTGAGCTCTTGGGTCAGGTACGATATCATGTTGGCATGAGAGCCAGTGGCTGCAAATCTGTCACACATTTCATTTGCTGTGAAATGAAAATAACCAAATCATTAGTTCTTTGGCTTTCATTAGTTCATTGAAGCACACTTCTTAGATAATAGCATGCTTAATTTTTCGGAAAGCATAGTGAATTTCATTGATATTTGTATATTGTGATGTTGTTTGAGCCTAAAATATAAAATACCATAAATATTCAATGTATTAACACCTAACATTCATGATTTTCTAAGGAAGTGTCACATGACAAAAGTTGAAGAAAGACAGGAAATGATCAGTCATAGCTACATTTGAAAAGATAAAGGTAACTAATTAAGAGTCATTATCAGGTAATCGTTGATAGAGCAAAAACTGTCGTTTGAGATGGCTATAAAAATGACATTCAGTGAAAAAGATAGGACCCTTTTAAACCCCCAAAATGCCCACCGAGTATCATTAGGAGTAATTTTTAGGTTAGTTTAGGAGCAGTTAGTACTATAATTAAGGTTGTTTCATTCATTTTTTTTAACCAAAGTGTTTCCAATTGGATTAATAAAATAACTCCCTTTTATTATGTTCTTAGTTTTAATTTTGCCTTAGCACAACAAGAATCTTTGTCGTTTTTTAATCCAAGGAAGTTCTAAAACAAGATATTTGAACTTATTCTAAATAATTGCCTGAAAGTTGTCTGTTGATTGAAATATTTTTGTCGATCCCAGTAGATTTTGTAGCAATAATCTTTTGCCATGCTCGATGCGATTACTAACTTGGATCAAAAAATGGTTAGAACAATAAAGCAAGGACAAGATTGTATTTGACGCAGACAGAAATGAAATTGTGGAAATGATGCCAAAAAAATGGCAATCATGAAGCTAGTTCAAGTGCCAATCTAGTGGAATATGTAAATCCAGAAGATGGTCAATCTAGTGGCCAGGATAGTGTGCAGATGCAAGAATTTGTGCAAATTTTGAAACATGTGTTGCATAATCATAATTCTAGCATAAGACAAGATTTAGTTAATTCCATGAATGAATTAATGAATGTCCAGACACGAATGTCAAAGCCAATTAATCAAAAATCAACCATTATCATTCGAAATCAAATGGTGGAAGAAGAAAACGTTAATCGCATCATATTTCCTATGGAAAACCAAAGGTTATCACCAATGGTACCCAATGTAAGATCATGTCCACCATACCAAAATTATTTTATCATGTTTTTTGATGGGGAACCTGTTGAAATGTTCCCTCATTTCTACCAAGATAGGAACCCAAGGGGTAGATCTAGATCAAGAATGGCCCCTGAATTCCCCAGGAGGGTAGTGAGAGGCTAGCCATGCGTCCAATTAATGGAACCTTTAGAAGAATTTAACCCAAAGCCAAGGGGGCAACCTCATGACTAGTTTGAAAATCTTGAAGGCCACAACAGTATGACTTTTAACAGAAGCCAATTGGTGGAAATAATATAGGATTTGTATAGTCATGGCCTTATAAAAAATGAAAGGCCTGTGTTTAGGTAACCTTATCCACCATGGGTTGATTTTGAGGAATTTCTAAGGGAATATAAAATATCAAAATTTCACCTTTACTCTGGTGAGAAAAATTTATCAACAATAGAACATATAGGCAGATTCAGTTTCTAGTTTGGAGATATTGGAAACAATGGAAACTTGAAAATGAAACTATTCCTACAATATTTGATTAAAACAACCTTTGCTTTGTTCATAAACTTGAAAAGAAATAGAAGAGCAGTTTTATGCTCAATTCTTTAGGAATGAATAAGAGGTTTCAATGGTTGATTTGTCAAGATTAATGTAGAAATCAAATGAATATACATAACAATATATTGACATATTCAAAAAAGGTAGGCAAATGTCTTGTTTACTTGCCTAAAATTGAATTGGTTAAACTTGCTCAGAATGGTTTAGACTTCGAATTAAGAAACAAATTCGAAGGAACGAAGTTTAGAGATCTCTTTGAACTCTCAGTTAGGGCTACTAGATATGAGATGTTGCTTAGAGAAGCACAACAAAGGATAAATAGTTTACTTGGAACTTATTTTCAAGATTTCAATGGAGAAACTGAAATCGATTTGGCACTGATCATAGAAAAATCATCAATTGTTTGTGATGCCTTAAAAAAGATGGAGGGATCCCATGAATATGTCATCCAGTCATCCTTTCAAAAAAAGATACACTCTCTAACTATTAACAATATTAATTTGATATATCAATGGTTGATGACCTACTTGATGAGTTAATCTACCACAAATTTATTGTCCTGTCTCAAGGACATAATATTCCACCAGAAAAAGACAGAAAATGAAAAGAGTACTATAAATGACATAATTCATTTAGGCATTCAAACAAAAACTTTATTTCCTTTAGAAATTGTGTGCAATATTTAATTAAAAATGAATGCTCAAATATGCTTCAAAACAAGAAGAAGTCATGGGTGTGGACAATAATCCTTTTCCCCAAATGGGTTAATATTAACATGATGTATGTTAATTTGTAGGAAGACAAGAAGATTGCTAGTATGGTTGTTTGCAATAAAAGAATTGTTCCAAAAAAGAGGAAGACAGTCTACATCAAGCTTGGTCGCGTAGAAGAAGAGCCACTAGTAATGTACTTTCAAGTGTGCCAAAGAAATGACAAAGCTAGAAGTTATACCACTAGATGATGTGGTGAGATAATTCATAGACAAGGGTCTCCAATTCAGCACCAGAGGAGAAGGAGACATCCAAATTTACAATGGTATTGAAAAGATCTTTAATGGTGCTAACCCATTAATTTTCAAAATCCAAGAAAGGTACCAACATGGGCATGGTCTTACCATTTTTTTGAGAATCAAGGAACCTTAGGAAATATTAGATATCAAGGCCAAGCCAAGAGAGAATGTCTACAAAAGATGGACCACTTTACCGGACCATTGATGGCCATAGAAAGTGTTTGGCAAAACTATAAACCCCCATGTATTTACTACATGGTATAAAGTGCTATTATATATGATATGCATATAGAATCACTTAGGAATAGGTTACAAGGGTTACAATAGAAGATAAGAAATGTTTGGGATTTTATATACATATTTGGGAGACACTGGGTAGAAAGGAATTGGATATTACTTTTGTAATTTAATTATAATTCATCACTCTTATGATTAATTGATCTGATTTTTGGATAGTAGAAATTAGATTTGAAGGACTACAAAAAGGCATTTCGTAGAGATCTTATAAATCGACTTCTAAATTGGTTAAAACTGCACTTGAAGTTCAAATAGGAATTGGAGTAATATTCAAACGAAAATCATGTTCTAATGCAACTTAGTCACAATATTTTGGGTTCTGATAGCACTCTAGATACTTGGAACAAGACACAGTTGAACGCAAGTCACATTCGAATGAAGCGTAGCTACAATGCTCCTATTGTTGTTTGAGTTAGAGTTAATGGTTGTTTGGTACCTTCACTAAGATACAGGACTGAAGTCAAGTGTAACCTTATAAACTTTTTTGTTGTCTTACAAGAAGTCTGACAAAAATCGAGATACTAGGTGTTTAATTGAGATACTGGGAGCAAAGCGCATCTGAATGCAAGTCACATTCAAATGGGGCACGCTCAAAAGCAAATCACATTCAAACATAAGAGTGATTTTTATAAAGATCAAACTGATGCCGACGGTTCATATTCTAACCCTATAAATACCTTAAGGATGTTTCTTAGCTTAGTTTCTGCAATAGTAAACCCTAGAAGGCTAAAGAAAGTGGGGAGAAAGGACAAAAAGGAAGATTTCAGAGGATTAATATATAGGAAATGCCACAAAATATGGTAGAATCAACATCTACAGAGTTTAAGATAGGGATTCTTTCTCAAACTCATCCATTGAGGGTTAGGATTACTTATATGCATGTTTTGGTTCCTATAAAAGTAAATATGATAGATTTACAATGTTTTTACACTTTTCATTATAGCCTTATTTGTTTCTTGGAATAATTACATGGTTTATATCAAAATTCGTACGTTCATGAGAAAAAACCTTGGTTTTGATTAATGTCAAAATTAAATGTTTTATATTACGATCTCTTTCATGATTTGCTTCAATTATTCTTGTGTGTTGAAAGTTGTGGGATTTTGTATGTTGAAAAATGTGGAATTGAGTTTGAAAAGATATCTCTTGTAATGGGATTGATTAACTAGGGTTACATATGAACCTATATCACAGAGAACTTAGATGTGTTTCTTACCTTAAGGGTTTCAAAGATTCCCTATCACTCGTAGTGGGGTTGGTTCCTTGTAAGGAGTAAATCACTATTCGCTAATGGTAGATCAAGGCTAAGGGTTGCTATATCATAATCCTAGGAAGGATTCATCACTACTAAAGCGAAATTATACGCCTTTCCTAAAGTGTCTTTCCCTAAGGGGTGTATTGTTGAGAAGGTAAAATTTTGTGGTCCAGACATATTTGTATTTTAACTTCTTATTTATTCAATCTATACACATGAGATATTGCTTATGAAATTTGCAATTTCTATGAATTATTCATTATTGTATCAAATGTTAGTATTCTTGTTTTGTAAACTAAAGATTAGCAATTGACATTGTTTTACTTCAAAAATTATGTATATTATGTTATAAATTGAGACTTACCTATTTCATGTTTTTGAAACATTATTTGGGTTTTAGAGGGTTTCTCTACTCGGCTTTTCACTCATCCCGTGTTATATATCTTTTTTTGTTTTTGTTTTTTCAAATTTTGGCTTTGAGGAGGACTTTCTCTTAGGTGAGCAAGGGGATTGAAATACTGAGGTGGATCATGATGTGGATTCAGGAGTTGATGTCTAAGGTTATCTTCCCATCCTAAAGTTACTAGTTGTGATTGATTGAAATAATGTATTCCGAATATTCCTTTAAGTAAATAGTTGAAAGATTTTATTCGAATTTTGGTTGTAACTCTGATGATTTTTTTATATTGGATTCGGGATTTGGTTTTCTTCTAATTTGATGAATGGTTTGATTTTTATCATTTGTGGATTATTTTAGATG